TATTCAGTACAGTAACATACTGTGTAGATTTGTAGCCAGTGAGCAATAGCCTATGTCATACAGCCTAGAGGTGGTAGGATGCACCACTTAGGTTTGTGTAAGTGCACTCCATGATGTTGCCCACAAGGCCAAATCACCTAGCAACACATTTCTCAGACATTTCTCCCAACATTTAGTGACTGTACTTGAAAGGATTAATATTAAAATATATAAAACCTAAACTTGTGCTGGACAAAAGAAGGTGCTTAATAAACTATAATTTTTAATGCTATCATTACTAAATTAAGCTGTTGTTTCAGCCACACAACTGCGTTTTCCCTACCCTCATACAAAGCGGTAAGTATTTGTCCAGCACTTCCTGGCAGTTCTACATCATGGTGAATACTGAATTGTATACAAAATTAGGGGGTTACTTGAAGTTACCTGGAAGGTGAAGAACCAGCCCAGGCACCTGCACTCTCCCTCATCACCCCAGCTGTTTAACAGAATACTGCAAAGCAGTCCCTTAATATGTAACATATACAAGGAATGAAGGCCTCTAAAATTTGTTCCTGACATCATCAATTAGTAAAATTTTATTGAAAATTTGCAACATAGCTTCTCTGAAGAATTTACAAATGCAGTCATTGCCTTTTGTCAGAGAATACTTGCGTAAGAACAACTTTTCTTAGGGTTTTGTTTGTTTGAGGGGGGTTTTCTGATTTGGTTTCTGAAAAGTTAATTCAATCACATTTCATATTTTAAAGATACCAAAAGGTGTATAGTGACATGCCTCTCAGTCCCTCTTTCTCCTTCTGGGGACACAGCTTTCTTATGTGTGTATATGTGTATACATACACATACATAATATCTTCTTTCTATTGTACAAATGGCAGCATACCATAAGCACTATTCTGTACCTTGCTCTTTTTTTTTCTTTACTATATATTTTGGAGATCCTAACATCTTAAAGTCTTAAAGACCATCCTCATTCTTTCATATAATTTACTTAGCAAGTACCTTATCGGTAAGTATTTTAATCCCTTCTTTTTTATTACTACAAACAATGCTGTCATGTATAACTTTGTATATAAGTCAGCATGCACTTATACAAGTAAATTGTTATGATTAATAACTCCCAGAAGTGGAACTGATATATGAGGCAACAGACACAAAAGATCTGAGACAAGTGACACACTCTATAGTGTGGGCATTAAATGTAGTGTGTACTTTATAGTTCTGGTAGATTTTGCCAGCTTTCCAGAGAGATAGTACTAATTTATACTCCTAAACCAAGGTCTGGGAGTGTCTTCCCTCTCTCCCCCCAACATTTTCCTCAACCTTTTCAATCTTTGCTACTCTGGTAAGTGAAAATAGAATCCCAGTATAGGTTTTAATGTACATTTCACCTCTTATAAATAAATACCACTACATATACCTATTTTTCAGAGTCATTCTGTTTCCTTCTTTGTGAATTTTCTGTTCAGATCCTTTGCCCATTTTTGGTTTTTTTTAAATTGGTTATTGGTCTTTTTCTTAATGGCTTTCTGGGTTTTTATATAGTAGGGATGATTGCCCTTAGATAATTGCCAACTCCCTATGAGTTGTAAATATTTTTCCTAAGTTTTCATGTGTTTTTTGAATTTACTTTTGGTATTTTTTATCAGGGATTTTTATGTTGTCACACTTAAGTTTTTATTTGCATTCCAGTGGATGTGGAGAGTTCAGAAACTGACCCCACCACTGATTTATTTTCACATATTCTGTTGTCCTGCTTAAGCAAATGTATAAAAAACCCTTTGGTGGGGTCGGTCCCTGACTCCCCTTCCCCATTAGAATGCTACTGTTGAATGACTTTTAGATTATAGGTCATGATTAGAAAGGAAAATTTTGAAGGAGGCAGGCTATATTATTCTGAACAGCCTTAGCAACCTCAAAAAGGGGTGAAACAACAGCACAGGAGTCTAAGATGGGGAAATGGTTAATTTAGCTAGGAAGGACCTCACAGTCAACTTTGCTATTCCATTTGACTTGTATTTTGAGTATTAGTGTATCTGTCAGAGTTCTTGTTCCAAAGGACAGAAACTAAGCAGAAAAGGAAAGCTATCAGTGGGTTCACTGAATCTAGGCAAAGCCTGGTTAATAAGGTTAGAAAATAGAAAAGACAAAGGGAATCCATATCTAAGATCCTACACAAGGTTGGACCTGGTCAGGGTTGCTGCTGCCATTGGTATCAGTGCCCTTGGAAACTGGCTCATGACAGCATAATGTATTAACTATCCCCACTTAATTGTGTCACTTGTCTCAGATCCTTTGTGTCAGTTGCCTCAGATTCAAAATCCCAGGAAGAAGCATTCACTTGGCCAGGCAGTCATTAAAATTAAATGAAGCTGAAATCTTAATTTAACTAAAGGCTGGTGAGAAAATAGCTGATTAAAGTTACTTTATTTAGACTTGTCATGTTTCCCTTTCGTGTAAAAGTTTCAGCTTTATTAAAGAATATGACCTGCTTAGAAAAAAAGTTTTATATTTTGTTCATTCTAAAAATATAAGATACTTGAATGATGAGTTTTGTCAGTGCCATTCATCATAAATAAGTTCAGTTCTAATACATGCTGAGATGAGATTATTTCAGATATGTCTCTTACTACATTTTAGTCTATTGTAGGAACAACAATGGCGCATTTAGCATAGTTTTGTTCAGTATTATTTAGCATCTACAGTTTCTATGGAAACAGATTTAACATTGACCTGAATTCTCTGAGCTTTTTTTTTTCAAGTTGCAGTTGTGTTCATAATGTAAGAGCCTCAGATTGTGTTATCAGTTCAATTTTGTTCCACAGTCAATTCTGCTACAAATTGACGTATTCGTGCACTGTGCAGTAAAACCACAGGGTTTATAGGGGGAAATGGGATTGGACCATAACACTCAAAAACTTCATCAGTGACACATAAAAGGATGGGAGCTAATAAAGACGGCACAGTTTTACATATGTTAATTGGTTAAAAATACATGTAAATACAGTAGATATGGCACTTTACCTTTAAAAAGACCTGGAGTTCGCTGTGAAAGTGAGTTTCAGAAGAGTTGCAGCTTGTGAATTGTTGTGAAGTGGCAGCAGGAGGGTGATGACATGAAATCAATGGGAAGTTATCACACCAGAGATGGCTGGGGCTGCGCACAAAGGATGCAGTGAACTAAGGTCACTAGACACGTTTTGGGACATGTATTGTGTTACGTATATTCCTATACAGGTCAGATCAGCTAGGTACAATTTCCTGTGTTCACTTAGTGTTGTAAGTTGATTAAAGTCAACGTTATCCTCAGAGTGTTTCCCAGTGCATCACTTGCATTAGAACAGTATAAATACATTTTTAAAGCAAGCATTATAGCAGGATAGACTGTATTTTTACTACAGTGACTCATTATTGTATATTTTAAAGCAAAATTAGAATGGGGGAGAGGTGTTTTAACTTCATAACATTAAAGAAACAATTTTTAAATTATTTTGTTTAAACATAGCCCTGTTTTGTATTTGCACAGTATGTATTTTAATACAGTGGGAATGTATCTCCAAGTTAAGGCTTTAGCAGTTAGGTGCCCTTCACCCTTCACCAAGACAATGGATTAATACTATACTGGGCCTCTTGGATGATAAAATTAGTGTCAACTATATATACATACAATGGAATATATTCAGCCATAGAAAGAAATGAAATTCTGATACATGCTAAAATATGAAGGAAACTTGGAAACATTCTACTCAGTGGAATAAGCCAGATCTAATTACAAATATTCTCTGATTTCCACATGAGGTACATCGAATGGACAAATTCATAAAGAAGGCAGAGTAAAGATTACCAGGGGCTGCAAGGAAGAGGGAATGGCCAGTTGTTTAATAAGTACAGTTACTGTTTGAGATGATTAAAATATTTTGGAAATGGATAGTGGTGATAGTTGTATGATACTGTGAGTGTACTGAATGCCACTGAATTATATACTTAAAAATGTTTAGATGATAAGTTATATGTTATTTATATTTTACCACAATAAAAAAATCAGTTTTACTTTGTTTTAAGAGACAGAGCCTTGCTCTATTACCCAGGATAGAGTGCGGTGGCATGATCATAGCTCACCATAACCCCACACCTCTGGACTCAAGCAATCTTCCTGCCTCAGCCTCCCAAGTAGCTGGGACTATAAGTACATGCTATCACACCTGGTTAATTTTTTTGTTTGTTTTTATAGAGACAAGGTCTCACTACATGAGTTGTCCAGGCTGGTCTCAAACTCCTGGCTTCAAGCGATCCTGCCACTTTGGCCTCCCAAAGTATTGAAATTATAGGTGTCAACTGTGGCATGAACAACTGCACTCACCCCCCAAAAATGAGTTTGTTCGTTTGTTTTCTCTCTGGTATTTATCTTCAGCATGGCCTACAGGCACTACTAAAATTACACAAGGATTCTCTGAATATTAGTAAATATTTATGAGATATATAACTAGTTTGTTTTTGCTTGTTAAAATTTAAGTATTGAATTTAGATATTTCTTATAATTCCTAGCAGTTAAAATGGATTTTTTTTGAATTTCATCAGCTCCATTAAGAAAGTTTTTTGTCTTCTAAAGGGAAGCAGGGAAGCATTGCTAACCTTAGTATTCGTTGTTCACATATACATGTAGTAAATTAACTTTTTTACATTGGAGGGAGAAGCCAAACACCCTGGAATTTCGTCCTCAGTGCTGTAGAACTCCTAGAATGTTTAAGCTGTTAACTGTAATACTGAATTTCTATTGAATTAGAAAAAAATATGTTTTTGAAGTATTTGTCAAATAATTTGAGTAAATTGGCCTGTTGATTTCTAAAAGCCATAATAATTGAGCAGTGTTATTAAGCTGGGTTGGTAGGAATTTTGTTTCTAAGAAATCTACAACAAATAGTTTTCTCAGCTATTTCATGTGATAACAGTTTTTATGTTTTTATGTATGTATTCTCCTAAAGTGTTATCCAATTGTATTTCAGGTTGCAACAAGGACAGCGTTAGAGCAGGCTGTAAAAAGTGTGGCTACCGTAAGTACATAATTGTGCATTGCTCCTGCTGGAATCATTGCCTCTAGGGCAGCGGTTCTCAACCTGTGGGTCACGACCCCTTTGGAGGCCAAACAAACCTTTCACAGGGGTCACCTAAGACCATCCTGCATATCAGATATTTATATTACAATTCATAACACTAGCAAAATTACAGTTATGAAGTAGCAGTGAAAATAATTTTATGGTTGGGGATCACCACAACATGAGGAACTGTATTAAAAAGTCGTAGCATTGGGAAGATTGAGAACCACTGCTCTAGGGCAATAAGATTTAGCAACTTTTTTTTTTTTTTGTAGTTTTTGGCTGGGGCTGGGTCTGAACCACCACCTCTGGCATAAGGGGTTGGTGCTCTACTCCTTTGAGCCACAAGCGCCGGCCAAGATTTAGCATATTGATTTCAGGGGCCCCTGCATAGTCCTTTAGCCTTTAACTAAGGTTTACAGTTGATTGAAAAATTCCTCAGCACTAAATATTTGATTTCCTTCCCTGCTTTAGACCCAGTGACTAGTAGCTGTATAGTTGATGATAGAAAAGATACCATGAAATGCAATTGGGTAATAGTAGATTTAGGAATTTAGAGAAAGTATATTTGTCTTAAAGTACATATATTCCTTTACTCCCTATTCTTATAGATACAAGGCAAAGAAATCAAGGCAATGCAAACTATGAATGAAGGGTTTTTGTGTTTATTGAATTTACTTATCCCTTTTTATGAAGATGTAATTGGTCCCAGAATTTCTGCTCATGGGCAAAAACTTACTTAAACAATCATTAGTCTCTATTATGGTTAATATAATGCAATGAAAAGGTAAAGTTCAGCATGTGTAATTACTCAATACATATTTGTAATTATATACTGTAAATAAATACTATTTTTCTAATTGTAGTAATTCCTAAAGCTTTACTAAACACCATAAAAATAGCATGCATTATTTTCTAAGTTGTTTGGCAACCATGCAAATTAGCCTGGATTTTTACTACACTCCAACTCATTAAAGAGCTATTTTTTTGGTTTTTTTTTTTTTTTACCAATTAATATTGATTTGACAAAAAGATTACCATGCAAGATTGTGTCTTAAGAGATCACTTAGATCATAAATCTCTGTCGGAAGTGCACAATGGAAGCCTGCCAAGAAGTCACACACTTCCAAGTGAGGGCTGACACGCGGCTCAACAGAAGCTTGCTCAAGTCAGGAAGCTGAGTGCACGAATGTACATATCCCTGATATAAATGAAAACTGAAGGATGTACTTGTGTGCAAGAAATGAATGGGATGAAATATTTTCTTTTTTTTTTAAATTTGTTTCTAGTCTGCTTTGTTTACGTTCAGTCACTGCTAACTTACATATCCCATCTCTTTATTATGCAAGACTTAAGAACCTACCACCTGTAGAAATGCTATATTGTTTGGCACGGGTTTCCCAATCTGTCTGCTAATATCAATTGTTTTAGGAAATTAATTAAAGTAATTTTCTGGGAATAGAATATTTGTTGATGTAATTTTAGACAACAGCTAGAACATTTGTAGTAATTAGATAATTCGGGTTTTGTGGGTTTTTTTAGAGAAGTTAAGTTAGTAAAATTTGTAGACAGTCTTTTCAAGTTTAGTTCTTTCTGTTTTATTAATCAGATCTTGGATCTTAGTGATAAAATTGTTAAACGATTTCTGCTCTGTCTCCTGTGGAAAAATTTAGTAATGATGTTAAATTTACATCTTTGCAGTTATGAGAGATGAAGATCTTGATTTCCTGGTCTTTCTGATAAAAACTGCATTGTAAAAGTAGCTCAGGCAGTGTGGGTCCGCCGCCCTTTCTTCTTCTGGATTGCTTGCCTATCCAGGGTCTCTTGCATTTCCATGTGACTTTTTGTGGATTGGCTTTTCCATTTCTGAAAAAAGTCACATCACTTTTTATAATTGGCTATTAAAATGTTATAACTTAAAATGTCTCTCCATATCCATGATCAAAACTAAGTTTCTAAGAATTCTCTGCCCATTATCTACTTAGAAAAGAAGCCACAAGAACTGTAATTTGGAATATAGTTATTTCCTGAACTTCCATCACTTGTTTCTCAGTAAAAAAAGAATAAGAAACTCTATTTGTACTTTCACAAGTAATTTGAGTTACCATTTTATGGTCACTTTGATTGAAGCAAAGCTAAAGTGGGTGTGAGACAGAGCCTGCTACCAGTGTATTCATTATTTAAGCATTTTAAATATTCACTCTAATGTGAGGCATTTGGGAACAAAGCTAGCTTGACTAAAAATTATTATACCATCAGGAGTTCTGATCAAAATAGCAAGTTGAACCAACATAAAACGTCCTCCATTCTGTTCCGGACATACAAAGATGCAGGAGTAAAGTAGAGTGATAATAACAACACAACAAAACTCAGCTCCAAAAGTGAAAAGAAAATTCCCAGGGGCCGGAAATGAAAAAGAGCAAAAGGGGAAGTCAGAGCAGTAGAGGCCAGCTGAAAACAATGAGGTCTGCAGGCCGACAGGGTAAGCCTCTGACAGCCCAATCGTGGTGGGAAGCCTCAGAGCCCTGCGGATGGCAGCATTTCAAGGGTGGAGCCCCTTGTGAGTCAGACTCCTCAGAGAAGTTCTGCTCACTCTGAGGAGAGTAGCAGGCATGTTTACAGTGAGTTTGAGTTCCCATAGAACAATATCTAGAAGAGAAGGAATAATCAGGATGAGCAGCCCAATCTTATACCTCCTAAGTATGAGGAGTGAATTTACACTGCTTCCAATGAGACAGGAACTGTTTTTCTCACACTAAGAAGTTAATGTTAAAAACTGATCTCATGTGAAATCAGATAAAAGTCTAGCCACATGTTGTTGCTAAAACTGCATGCAGACTAAACAGTACTGAGGCAAGTGAAAAAACCACATAGAAATTTCCAAAATAAGGGAATGAGAAAAAAGCAGAGAGAGTAGGCTGAACATTGCTGACGTTCAGTTGTTTTACTCACAAAATCATATAATTCAATGAGTAATAAAAGAGTAGTAGAAGGACAATTTTAATTTCAGACTTTTGAGGTAAAAGCAGTGCTGAGGATAAGAAATTCAACAACAATCAGGTTAAAAGATAAAACAATTAGTGATCTTGAATGTGCTTACTAATTTAGTCTCAAAATAGCTACTGAAAAGTCATTACAGGTAGCTCACACCTGTCTGTAATCCTAGCACTCTGGGAGGCGGAGGCTGGAGGATCCCTTGAACTCAGGAGTTCAAGACAAGCCTGAGCAAGAGGGAGAAATCTCCTACTAAAAATAAAAAAGAAAGCCAGGCATTGTGGCAGATACCTGTAGTCCCAGCTACTCTGAAGGCTGAGGCAAGAATGACATCATGGCACTCTACCCAGGGTGATAGAGTGAGACTTTGTCTCAAAAAACAAACAAACAAAAAACTCCACTATATTTCAAGAAGAGAAAACAGAAAATCAATAAGAATAGTACAATTTTTAAGTACTTCTATCAGAAATTATTAGACAAATGAACAAAATGAACATGGAACCTCAACCAACAAATACTGTTGTATAGTTATGCCTCACTTAACAGAAGTAAGTTGTGAGACGTGTCTTTAGGCAATCCCATTCTTGGGCAAACATCATAAAGTGTATTTAGACAAACCTAGATGGTGTAGCCTGCATGGTATGGGCTACAAACCTGTACAGCATGTTACTGTACTAAATACAGTATCATAACATTAGGGACCAGCATCATGCATGTAGTCCATCACTGACCTAAACCTCATTGTGCAGTGTATGACTGTAGATGCTTTTGAAGTATATACCAAGACCACAAAAGAAATCTCATCAAATACTAAAGAATTGATATTGTACGGATTCCATTCTCTGAAAACAGTCTAATAAATTGAGAAAACAACAATAAAAACAAAACTTTAAAACTCCTTGTGTTTGGAAACAGAAACACGTGCTTCTAATTGAGTCATTTTGGGCAAAAATCACAATGGAGGAACAATGTTTCCAACATTATAGCAGACGAGGCCCTCTGGTAAACAGCTAAGAAACTTATATAAAATGTGCAACATATGTAAGTTTAAGCTACATTAGTATAATAATAGGAAGAAAATAAACAAGAACATTCAAAGGCCAACAACCTAAGGAAAGCAAAAGCTCCAAGAGATAAGCGGTGAGGGTACTTGATGAACACAGGGTTCTTGAACTTCTGTTTTTATGGGCTGGCAGGATACAAGGGATAAAAGCAGCCCAGGGCCCTGCTTCAGCAAGATTGGCACTGTAACAGAAGATTCTCTGATATACATGTAGCACTCCCAGAAGGCTTCACCCACAAAGTACAAGAGCTAGAAATAAATCCAAACAGTCGAGGTGAATTATCAGCAGGTCACGAGATGAATTATTTGTTCACTGTCTGCATTGGTTTTTTGGAACATTGAAAGCATTAGTGCTTCATGTAACTGTTGTTTTAATTTTCGTGTATCGTGGCTGCAGTCCCCAACCTCCAACCCTCCCCCCCATATCAATCTCGGAGCCCTGCCACACAGCGAGAGGTGAGTGGTGGGGGTAAGCCAGCAAAGCTTCATCTATGTTTACAGCTGCTCCCATCACTTGGGATTTTAGATAAGCAGTGGTATTAGATTCTCATAGTAGCACAAACCCTACTGTAAACTGTGCATGAGAGGGATCTAGGTTGTGTGCTCTTTATGAGATTCTAATCCCTGATGCTCTGAGGTGCAGATGTAATACCCTTGAATCATCCAGAAATCACCCACACACACACAACCATCCCTCCCAGTCCATGGAAGAATTGTAAAAAGCTGGTCCCTGGTGCAAAATGGTTGGGGACTGCTGTGTTATGGCCCATTTATCTATGAATGTGTATTTGAGTACACTTGGTTACATTGTTGTTTTACCATGGGTTACATTGTTACATTTTACCATGGGTTAGTCATGGTTATGAAAATTCGAAAGCTACCCTACCCTGGTCCTTTCCACATTGTTTATGATAGCAAACTACTAGAAGCAACCTTAGTTTCTAGCAGTAATAGGATAAATAAATATGACTTTCATTCAGTGGAACATTGTTCATTAGATAAAATGAAAAAAATTACACCTACTTATTATGTTAATAGATAAAACACAAACATTGAGTGGCAGAAATGCACAGAATGGTAAGTGTATATAATTGAGTTTATTTATTTATTTACTTATTAGCAAGTTTTGGCTGGGGCTGGATTTGAACCTGCCACCTCCAGCATATGGGCCTGGCACCCTACTCCTTTGAGCCACAGACGCTGCCCCGAGTTTATTTTTTTTAACCACTCTATAATATGTTGTTTGGGAAAGGTAGACGCCAACTTCAGTAAAGTCACTACTGAGGACAAAAAGAATGGAATGGGATTAAAGCAGGGTTTCAAAAGATTACAAGCTCCCCAACTTTGTGTGGGTGCTTGCACACGCACATGTATAAGAGAGAGCTTTTTCCTTAAAATAAGTGAAGTGGATATGATAAAATATTAACATATGGATTATAGGTATATCATTTCCTATACTTCTCTGGTGTTTACATTTGGCTTTCTAAAAAATTGTACCATGCAGTACGTTGTTTACTGTTGTAGTTTTCTTATTGGGAGAGCCTCATAGGAGTATGATGTCAGAATTAAATTTTTAGGTGTCCTTTAGAAAAGCATATTGACTTATATTAATGCTTGTACATGATTATGCCAACTTTAATTAGTTGAAAGCTGTATAATGGTGTGAGTACAGCAGTCAAACTGGGAAGTAAAAAGTTTGGAAATAGAATAAAATATAAAATCCCAAGTATTAACAGTATGGGTTTGGTTTTTAATTACCTAAGTTAAAAATATTACCATATTATTAGAAAGGGAAAATGCAATAATTCATTTCAAATCCATAAAAAATGATTCTCAAAAATGCTCATTGAATTAGAAGTTCAGATGAAGAAAAGAAATAGTTCTGAGTAATACATTCAAGGAAAAATACAGGGAAAATAATCTACCATCCACTGAATGAAAATTAAACCTTTTTATGTTACTAAAATTGTAACTTGCTGCTTACCAGGAGACAGCAAAACATACAAAAAGATCATAATGATCCAGTAGTTTTACCATTCTGAATTTTTGTTTGTCTTAGCCGGTCACCTGACTTTTGAATGCCGCAATTTTCTCCGAGTAGACCCTAAAAGGGACATTGTTTTGGATGTCAGCAGTACAAGCAGTGAAGAAAGTGATGAAGAGAATGAAGAACTGAATAAATTGCAGGCGTTACAGGAGAAAAGTAAGCAATGCTTTTTTTTCTCCGTTCTTTTGAAATGTTTCTAAATGTTAAGCTGTATTATGTCATGTGTATCAATTGCACTTATTAAGATATCTTTTATATTCTATAGGTAAGGAAGTAGGCTTTAACATTGTAAGTAATTTACCTAAGACCAAATAGACAGTAAGCCAGGAGGCATGTCTGTTTTTGACTCCACAACTGGTATTTGTGGTAGGGGAGGGAATTGCTGTTTTTCTCCCCATCCTATTAGGATGTGTGACATTGTGCAAAGAGTTTGATGTAAGACTTGGTTTCACATCCTATTTGGATGCTTTTTTTTTTTAGTATGTGACTTTTACCAAGTGACTCACGACTCTGAGCCTCAGCTTCCTTGTGGGATAACAAAAAGATTGGGTTATCAGATCATAGTCACATAGATCAGAGATCTTAGCCAGTATCAAGCTTCACTAATAATTCAAGTATACAAATAATCACGAAGCATAGACAAAGCAGAGAGAGTTGTGCAGCCTCACAGGTATTTTCTCTCTATGTCAGAATTCATTCTGGTCAAGATTAACATAAGAAGTTTCTATATTATACAAAAGAAAGTTGATTTGGTCATGAGACATCTCCACTTTATGTCCAAATAGTTACCTTTTCCTGGGACTTATACCCTATAAATACTTAGATTCTACATTTGTTTACCACAACAATTTTAGCCCACACAGTTACACCTTGCTATAAGCATTCTTTAAATAAAGATTATCTGTCCAACAGCATTTGTTATGAGTGTGTTTCAAAGATGTTTGACCAAGTCACCTGCTCTCTTTCCTCCTCTACCCCTAGAGAGAGTAGATTACAGGCCTATTGTTTATCCATTTCATTCTCTTCTTGTGAATAAAATGGCTCATGCTTGCAAAGGGATTTTAGGGAGGAAATATGATACTCTAAGTGAAAATACTCTGTAAACTACAAAATTCCATGAGTTAGATATCACACAGAAACAAAATGCGACTTATCTTAATTGAGTCTCAGGCATAGGAAGAGAGGTTAAATTCGTTTTAGATTGCCAGAGAACATTAAAAATTAATTTTGGTCACATTTTCTTGATTCTTTATGTTTCTTATGTGGCTGCATTGGTGACTGTGTATTAGGAAAAAAGAGTACATTTTCCCAACCTTGCAGAGCAGTGCCAGGTGCAGGAGGATTTCTGTCTCTCTTCTCTTGTTTCCCTCTGCCCCATGTAGTTGGGATTCTAGTCTTTTAGCACTTGGTATAAGACAAGATAGAAATTGGCCCCCCAGAGAATACACCACCACAAGACCAAGACCCCCTTTCACCCCATACACAGGAGAAATCTCAGGCTGAGCTGGTCTTCTTGGATCCTAGATAATCCAGCTTCGTGTGGCTGATGCAAACAAAGGGAATGGATTCTTCTTACCTGGATTAATGTGATTTTCCTCATGTTTTCACTTGTCCAAGGTGTTTCCATTTCTCACCTGGATTCTGGGTTTCTCCTAAAGGGTTTTGGGTCTGAATATTATTGTTATGTTAGTGGTTCTGTAGAGCAGTGATTTTCAACTGGTGTGCCACGGCAGGATCTTAGGTGTGACACAAAAATTTTTAAGGATCATTAATTAAATTTTTTTCAAGAGACGTTCAAAGCAAAGTAAGTATATATATATATATATATATATTTTTTTTTTTACTCTTTAAGTGTGCTGTGGAAGTTTAACTACAAGTTCAAGGGTGCCGCGAGATAAAGAAAAATTAGTGCTGTGGAGGAGTAGGAGCCAGACTTCCTGCTTTGGCATCTTGCTGTTATCTCCCACTCATTACATATTTTAAATGAAATATCTTTCGGCTCGGCTCCTATAGCTCAACCGGCTAAGGCGCCAGCCATGTACACCTAAGGTGGCGGGTTCGAATCCCCAGCCCGGACCCGCCAAACAACAATGACGGCTGCAACCAAAAAATAGCCGGGCGTTGTGGCGGGCGCCTGTGGTCCCAGCTACTTGGGAGGCGGAGGCAAGAGACTCGCTTGAGCCCAGGAGTTGGAGGTTGCTGTGAGCTGTAATGCCACGGCACTCTACCCAGGGGGACAGCTTGAGGCTCTGTCTCAAAAAAAAAAAAAAAAAAGAAAAGAAATATCTTTCATTTAAAATAAGCAAAAATATTATGCATTACTGATGCAAATTAGGAAATGTGAGAGCAGGACTTAAAGTGGATGGGAACAAACATTATCGTTTAATTACAAGATAACAGCATGGGACCTGTGCACCCCTCGAAATTGTATCACGAGTGACATGAACAGGATTGACTGATTAATGCATAGCAAAGAGTCTGAGGTCTTATTGACTCACATTTGTATGTGTGTCTGTGTCTGTGTGTTCGAGCGTGCTTTCTGTCTAGTTAACACTCCAGTGCTTCAGGACAATTAAGGTTTTTTATGGTTGTGAACTTCCTAAAGAAACTCTGCCTCTAGTAAATGTCTGAAGACATGTTTATGTTTCTATGTAGATGGACTCTATGTAAAAGGATTTCACTATTTACAAAGGACCTAGGAAATTCAAGAATATAGGTTTTTTTCTCATTCTATTTTAACTAGTGTTATTTAAAACAAATCATTAGTTTACCTACAGTGAGGAGATAGTCCTCTCCTCATATCTCATCCCTTAATTTTTTATAGGGTTCCTCTAGTTCAGCACAGGCAAGAAATGTATCTTGACAAATTGGGGGAATTGGGGCCTAGTTTTGTTTCTTTCGTTTAAGCATTTCATGTTAAATTCATAGTTGATTATACTTAAAGATATCTGACACTAAAAACTACCCATCAGAAAATTCAACTCAGGTATTTGTATATTGTCATGAGTCTGCCTCCTTTCCTTTAGTAACTGCTGGAATCAGATTCAAAGAAACAACTTACTATGATGGTTTCAAGTTTCATGACGGTAGGGCTAACATGAATTATAATAAAGGTAATTGGAGTAAAGCCTAAGTGTGGCTTGTACTGTTTTTATAAGACACTGCAAAAGGTATTTGCTAAGTTGTAGATGAGAAGACATAGGGGTATACGTTTGAAACTGCCTAATCCGGGATTAGAAAAAGCAGTTGGTGTAGCTACAAACCTAGTAACAGGTGTGTGAACTAAGATCCAGTAGCTGAGCCTGGGGCTGCTGCTAGGATGGGTCTTCCATAGTAATCCAAAGCTGTCTCTGAGCGCTGGATCATAACCTTTGACTCCTCTGTCTGTTAGATAAGAAACCCCTGCACTTTGCAAATCCTTACAGAAGTTTACTGTGAAAGTACATTAAGGCCTTCCTTCCTTATGTTTTGCACTCCAAAGATTGATTGTATTATTTTCCAAGATTTTACTACATTGCAAAAACTCAAACTCCTTTCCTGCCATGCACCTCAGCATCCTGCCTTGGGAAAAAACCTCAATAAACAGTGAAAGAGTAGTGTTAAGAGCTTCCAGCAGTATAGAAACATTAAAATTTCAAAAATACATTATATCTTCATTGCTTCTGTCCACACGAGCTTTTGTTGTTCTTAGAACACACCCAGCTCTTTTTGCCTTGGACCCTTGACACCGGTGTCGTCTTCCCGACAGGCACTATCCTTGCTCTCCAGGTGGAATACTATCTTTGTTTGCTGGTTGATTTTCTTTCTCACCACTTAAGGATTAGCTCCATGAGGGCGAGGATCATGTATAGCACGGATTCAGTCCCTGCGCAATACCTGGCACATAAACATTTAGTGAATATTTGTTAAATGAAAAGTGTGGTCAATAAAATCTCCTAAGAGTCTGGGAGACAAACTGACTTCTGTATTCTTTACCTTGCCCAATGACCTCAAGGCTTCCTGGCTACTAAAAGTAATTCCTGATAATAAGATTTTAATTCTCTTATTTATATTATGTTATATTATTTTTCTCAATCTTACAAAAATCTCTACATTGAATGTACATTAATTTTATAATTATGAAATATGTAGATTAGGTATACATATATATATATCTGTATTTATTTACAGACAAATGTAAATGTTTTTTAAAAACGTGACAGTGTAAAAATAATTAGACCTAAAAATTGGGAGGTTTAGTGTTAAGAAATGAAAAGCACAAAGCCTAATTTTTTTCATCTTTTATATAAAGTAGGGAGTTTATTGATACCATCTGAAATCAAAACATTAATAGCTCCATCCTCTTAGTTTTTTTATAATCTTTTTTCTTAACGTTAGAGATTTTTTTTGATTAATAATCTTTCTGTGGAAGAGCTATTTTTAAAATCGTGTTTCCATTTTACTTTCTTTTACTAAATTCAAGTAAAATTAAATAATTTGTCTGTAAATATACTGCGTATGTTGATAAGTTCTATCACCCAGAAATATTTCTCGTATGTGCAAAGGATATGTACAAAAGTTTGCATTGCTACTGTTTCTAAGAATGAAAGTAGAAGAGGATAAATTACAGTTCATGGGAACACTATTTTATATTTAATAATGATGTTGATCTATGTTTAATGACAAGGGGAAATATCTGCTGAATTAAGGGCGAGAGATAAGTTGTAAAATATTTTATCAACACAGTATGTTTTTCAAAGGTGAAAAGACTCTGGAACTCTTAAGCAACTTTGTATGTATGAGTAAATCTGTATGTGTTTGGTATTATATAGAGAAAGCATAGAAGAATACACATAAAATTGTAAAAACAAGTTAGAGGATAATATGGCATGATACTAATTTTGTTGCAAAAGAAAATGTAAAAACTGTGTACCACTGTTGTGGTGTTTTGTTTTTTAAGGCCTGCAGAGTATCCATGAAACTGTTGACATTGATTTGCACAGGAATTAGAAGTGGAGTACTAATGTAGTTAGTATTATTTGAAATTTTTATAAAAAACATGTTAAGACTTTTATAAGGCTTTAATGAATAAAAATAATCAAGAGGGGAAAATTGTTGCAAGAGTACTACAGTTTCCTAACTAGTGAAATTCACCAAGCAACCATTAAAACTTAAAAATGTGTACATACCCTATTGGTATATAGACCCCTGGTGACCTGAGTTTTCCTCCCACTTCTCCCCCACAGGAATAAATGAAGAAGAGGAGAAGAAAAAAGAAAAAAGCAAAGAGAAAGTCAAGTTGAAAAAAAAAAGGAAAAGGTATTTTTTAATAGCATTAAAGAAAAAGAAAGAAAAGCAGGACCGTGAATCCAGAATGGATTGCCAAATTTCATTTTTCATGTGTAGTCTTGTCAGTGTAATATTAACTTTTTCTTAATGGGAAAAGAAAAAGTTGCACAGTCATTTCAATAAAATGACAAAGTCCTTCATGTTAGGAACCAAAGACAAAGTCAGTCTTTACCCACCTTTTGGGATCAAATCAAGGTATAAATAAGTAACAGCTTCCCCCTTTTTTATACATTGTATTTCTATTCTAGATTTTTAAGTTTTAAAACAACAGCCAAGATTTTAATCAGTGGTAAATCTAAATATTTCACATGCATTTGTCTTCACCTACACAAAGTTGGAGCTTAAATATTTTTATTCTCATAATATCATTACCATGGCTAAGAAATTAATTTATTAATAGAAGTTTCATCCTAAAAATTCTTCATCAGCCACCTGCGAATTTTTACTGAGAAATCTTTCAACAAATAACTGATTGAAGAAATTGATCAAAAGTAGTAAGAGGCAGCTTTCTTCTGTGATTAAATGAGTACAGTTTCATTTACATTAGAACGAAACTATATACATAGCCATTTTTTAAGGTACTGGCCATAGTTTTCATGGTTGAATTTTAACTCCTAATTAGATTACTGATTGAACTCTTCAGATGCCTTGTTAAAATTAACAAATTAATTCAGTTTGTCTTGTGATACATATTTTGAGTTTGGGTATAGGTAAAATTTTATCCACCTCTATATAGGGCTTTTTCTGGGTTTTTTGGTTGTTTTTTATTGCAGTTTTTGGCCGGGGCTGGGTTTGAACCCGCCACCTCCAGCATATGGAGCCGGCTCCCTCTCCTTTGAGCCACAGGCATCAATCACCCTGTTTGTTTGTTTGTTTTGAGACAAAGTCTCACCATCTCTTCCTCGGTAGAATGCTGTGATGTCACAGCTCATAGCAACTTCAGACTCTTGGGCTTAAGCGATTCTCTTGCCTCAGCCTCCCAAGTAACTGGGACTACAGGAGCCCCCCACAGTGCCCGGCTATATTTTTGTTGCAGTTGTCATTGTTGTTTTGCTGGCCCAGGCTGGTTTGAACCTGCCTGTGACCTTGGTATATGTGGTGACCTCTGAGCTACGGGTGCCACCACACTTTTTCTGGGTTTAAAAAAATTTTTTTTTCTCTTTTTACTATTACAAAAAGGAATTCTCCAGTTTCTTTTGCAATTTACCATTAGAGTAGTATTTTTAAAAATTATGATGTTATCCTCATTAATTTAGAGAATTCATTTAAAAGCATCTTTTTTGTGACTAATGAAAACTATTTTGTAATGTAAGTATTCATCTGTATCACTCTGCATTTAGAGGGATCAAGTACTTTTACTAGAAAAATTGAATTAACAAAAGTGCTTTTATTCTGCTAGTTTTCAGCTTTCATTCATTTATACCAAGGTATAATTATAGCCTTTTTTAGAAATATATCATAGTATTCTTTTGAGGCTCTTAAAAGAATATGCTAGCAAGTTGTATACACAAGTGAATTTTGTATGTAATGAGCCTTGGTGAATGCCACTTGGTTTGTCTTTGGAGATTTTGAAGGGTATGGCCACATGATAATTTCATCCTTTTTGAATTTAAAACTCATTATTAGAGTTGAGCAGAATAAAGATAATAGTTTCTGTGACCAAGCAGCAAAAAATCTGAATTCAGGATTTTGAGGGAATACAAATATGTGAAGCATATTTTGAGTTTATATTTATCTCCCCACTTTACTCAGAAAAGAATTCATTTCAAATCCCATTTAAACTTATCAGTCATAAAAGCAATTATCAATATGTTTTATTGCCCATAGGTCTTATTCATCCAGTTCTACTGAAGAGGACACTTCAAAACAAAAGAAACAAAAATATCCGAAGAAAGAAAAGAAAAAAGAAAAAAAGAGTAAATCAAAAAAAGGCAAACATCACAAAAAGGAAAAAAAGAAAAGGAAAAAGGAAAAGCATTCCTCTACTGTTAACAGTTCTGAATTCTCCAAAAAGTAACTGAGACTTTGGTCTAAGCCATTAAATTTGAAAATTTGGTTTTAAAAATTATTTGCTCTTCCTTAGAATTTGCTATATACTCTGCTTTGCAATAAATCCCATATAGACATTTTTCATATGTGGTACTATTATCCCTCTGGCAATATATTTTTAATGTGCTATGACTATAAAGTATTAAATCAGTCTTGTTACTTGATAGCCATGCCCCAAGCTATTTGTATATACAAGACACATCTTTTTTGGCTTTTGCCTCTGTGCCATTACATCATAAATTGTTTGTAAAATGGCATTACTGCAGTAAACACAGGTGATCTACATAGCTGTAAGTATTGCTAAATCAGGTGTTCACCTTCCATTGATGAAGCTAGGTAGAGGGCAGTGCTTTGAATGCTTTGCTCTTGACACTGAAAAATTTAATAGTTTTAGATACTAAAATGAAATGTACAAAGATAGTCAAATTCTTTATTATTGTTTTTAAATTGCTAGACATTTTTTTAATATCATGGGAGATGAAGCTGCTTTATTGGTCTTGAATAGGGCTTTTTAAATGAATGGTGTCTGCAAGAAGGTGGTAATCATGAAAATATTTATAACAAAGTTTCACTGTTTTCTGAAATGCAGAGTTTCTGCCTCCTTTGTTTTTGTAACAATCAAAGTATTTCTTCCTTATTTAGAGCCTATAAGTAAGTCTTGCCTAGATGATGCTATATTGGTCAGGATTTTTAGGATAGACTCCTGGGTTGCTTTTACAAATGTGCCATATTGGCATGTCTCAAAGTAATACCTCAAACAGAAATTTTTATTTAGGAAGACAGCCAAATCTTCATCAGATCTGATTTTTATTGTACTCAGTGTATAAATTTTATGAATATTGTTCTATGAGTAATGTGGAAAATTTTTATAAATGTGAGCACATATATTTAGTCTGAAATAATTTGTAGTTTTGAAGCAAGTTTTACACTGAACTTATGGTTTCACAAATAGTTGGGGGTGTTTCTGTCTTTTACTTCAGTCACAAACCTCAGGAGCAGCAACAAAAATTTAAAATTAAGAATTTTATTCTGAACTTTTTAAAATTTAAGAGCCAGGGAGTTGCATCATAAAAGCCTTTATATAAAAATTTTGTATGAGTAAACATTTCAAACACATAGTAGTAAATAAAATGTTTCTTAAATTTTTGTTTTCACTGTGATCAGTGAAATTTGATCAAAATTGATCAGTGAAATATTTACTTTGCTTAGTATTTAGGTATCCCTCATGCCCAATAAGGTAAATATTTATTATGTTGTAGAAGTATCAAAAATTAACCAATTATCATGGCATAGCACCAAAGACTGCAAATACATCGCTGTGGTGCATTTGTAAATTTTGAAATTGGTAACCTGCTGACATGGATGCTGGTGAATTTATGGTGATGAAATCAGGTAAGTACATTTAACCTCATGAGCTGGTCTGGTTTACTGACTCTTCATTTACCCAGCACCTTACCTGGCATGCCCTCAGTAAGACTTGGGGAGCCGTATAACTCCTTTTAATATACAATTACTCTTGCTTAAATTTTAGGAAAGCTGCACCAACATCCCCTTTCTGGCATTGCAGCCGTGGAGCCACTCACACTCAACTATTGAACTATTTGACTTCGTCCAAAAGAAATTCTTTTTGTTTAAATAGTTCAGTCAGATTTAGGGGAGAGAAACACAGACCCATTAGGTTTTCTAAGGGTGTGTTTGGCCTTTACTACTGATTTTATGAAAATACGGTTCTTTGGTTTGAAAACAAGTTAAAAATATATATTTAAAAATTTTTTTTTCTTCTTATGCCAGATAATTTAGTAAACCTTAAGAAGTGAGAAAGTAGTATAAACATTTTACGAAGAAAATGAAAAAGAAATGTCCATAGCTCAATATTTGATAAAAGAGGGCTATAGTTGAATATGAGTGTAACTTTTCTTTAAATTTCAGAATGTTAGGGGGTACGCATGTTTTGCTTATGTATTTCGTTTTTGTATAGATTGAGTCAAAATTTTAAGTGTGCCTTCACCCAGTCTGCACTGTACCCAATAGGTGTGAATGTACCCATCTCCCCCTCCCCCTCCCCCCAGCTTGACTCGCATTGAGATTTACTTCCATATGTGCACTTAAGTGTTGATTGATTCATTCTGATTTGGTATTGAGTACATGTATTTGTTTCTCTGTTCTTGTGATTTTTCATTTAGAATTGCTTCCAGTACCATCCAGGTTGTCACAAAAGATACTAGCTCGCCATTTTTTTATGGATAAGTGGTACTCCATGGTGTGTATCCACCACATTTTATTAAGTGAGGCTGGTCCAGGAGCAGTGGTGGGTCTTCACTTACTGCTTCCCTTGACTAGCCTTAAAAAAAATGAACCAAAATAAAATAAAATAAAAAAAAAAGATTAGAAGATTCTACATACAAAGGGATGGCCTCATGCCCTTGAGGGTGCAGTGATAGTGATCATAGTGAAGAGTTAATTGAGTTATTTGTAAGTTTTACTACTGTTAATTATAAATTGGTTCATTAAGCTTGTTTTCTGAATGGTGACCTAATAATTCAGAAGAGTGAAAGCTTTTGTGAAGTGATATTATGTGTGAATTAAAGGATTTTAGTGCTCAGTAATTTTTCCCCCAGATTTAATTTTGGAATTATTCTTCAGTAGGTTTTCCATAATATTAGCATAGTTTATGAAATATCTCACCTGAATAAAAATTATATATTTTTACTAAATTAATTTTCTTCTGAAATGAACTTGTTATTATCAAGATTGGATACAGATCTCACTAATACATTTTGGGAGAAAATTAATGAAATTCCCACTCAGGCAATATATAGCAGAAAGAAAACTAAATTTAATAATAAAAATCAAAAAATTCTTGTTATTCTAACTAGCTTTATGACCCTCAACAAAGGCATTTAGTTTCTCTGGGCCTTGCTGTCTTTCATCTATAAAATATTGTACCAGGTTATCTCTGATATCATTTCCAGTCTGCAGTATGTATAATTATCAAGATTTCAGTAAAATTCAAGTAATATTCATTTTAAAATTATAATAAGCAGGTAGTATTTTGTAATAGAATATGTCCAATTTATTAAAACAACTGTTAAACACATACGACTTCTTTAGCAGATAATTGATATTTGGTTCATATTCTTACTGTTCTACGTATGTAATTTTCACTAGATGAAATAGCATTTATATTTAGATTTGTATTTGTAACTAGGTTACCCGAGCACTTTCGGACTGTGTATTTGGGCTGATGGACCTATTTCCCAGCTAGTTTCCCGTTTCTTTTCTCCGTATCATCTTTTGGCTAATCATATCTCTTGGAGGTACCCCTAGTGCTTCATACTTAATACATCTCCATTCCCATCTTTGGTTCTCTGAGGCCAAAACATCAATAAATGAGAAGTAAAAACAATGTTTGTCTAAATTTACTCCTCATCTAAAATTATATAACTCTAGGACACATTCAATAGTAAACAAGGCTGAAGAGTTAATAATGTTGATAAAAATGCCACTGAGTCCTTTTTTCACCAAGCATGTACTGAGCACTAGTGTGGCAAACACTGTGCTGGGTCCTGCGGATTCAGATAAATGCTTCCTTGTAGGAGTTCACAGTTTAGTTGCTAGGAGAAACACTAGAGCGCACATTATGTAATAAGTGCAGTAATTGGAATTTATGGGTTTGTAGAAACACAGGAGCACCTAACATAGCCTGGAGAAATTAGAAGAGGCTACCTTCTAGAAAATAATGCCTAGAGAAAATAATGCCTGCATTGCAATTTGATTAAGGATGAGGGTGAGGGTCATAGCAGTTCCAGACTAAGAAGGGTACCGTGGACAAAGACCACGTGTAGAAAAAGCTGAGTTGTGTGTCAGTTATCTGGACTCCAGTGTTGTTGGTATGTCATAGGCAAGGCAAGAAATGGTAAGAATTGAGACTACTATGTAGGTGTTCCAGAACAAGAGAGGGAAGTCTTGTGTTCCGTTTTGGGGAGCAGGGACTTTAATCTGTAAGCAGTGAGACACCATTGAAAAGTTTTAAGGAAGGAAATGACTTTTATTGTGGTTTTATTCCATCTATTTTATAATCTGAGTAATCCCACAATTTTTAAAAGAGGAAAATGCTTTTATTAGAAGACCATGTAGAAAGTAATTTGATTCTTTTATGCTCTATTGTTTGTATTTTTCTTCTAGACTCACTTTTCTAAGATCTGATTATTACTAAAAATTACATAGGTGACCTAAATCATCTAAAAACACTGCTGTGTTTTTTATCAGACCCATCTCCAGAATACAGACATACATGTATATACTTTGAAATGTACTTTGTTTTTATTTTAGCTTATTTCTGACTGGCTTAAGTTCTGTCACTATGGTAGTATTTTCTATGCCCAAATCATTTAAAATATATTTTTTAATATATAGACTATGCTATAATTTGATAAAGCTTCTTTTAATACTTTGTCTTAACCTAGGAAGTACAACTGCTTCAAAGTTACAGAGAGACATACCAGTTGGTCCACCCATGAGCTGTGTCCTGCTCTGATGACATACACTAGATTATTAGCAAGCAGTGTCTTGAGGCCTCCAGCACTGGCATTCAAACTTCTTGGGCAGTTGGCATCAAAGAACAGATGTTTCTCATGCCAGTGTCACAGTGAACCTGTTAAAAAGGCCAGAGTCTACTGATGATAGTTGTGTCCTGTCAACTCCTCTAATAATATGCAGAATCATCGAGAATTGGAGTACATCTCCTAGGACACAACCCATGATGGATCTGGCCATGCTGGGCCCCAGTATGCACCTCCCATGAGGTGGGGAGGATGATCATTTTGCTAAGTCAGGTTTCTTGGTTGTGCTATGGCCCTTGCCCTTGAGGAGCAAAATTAGAACTGTACTAGTGCCTTAGCTAAACTTTCTCAACCTAGATTTTCAACTGAGGCCATACAGGAATATAATTATTAAATTTCTGTGTATCAAAATAGCAAATTTTCTGGGATTTTTTAAAAAGTCGAAGTTGTATAAAACAAAGATCAAGAAGTACCCACAAAACCTTTATGAATTTTCACAAAAACAAGTGAAAATGCTTTGCTTTTATGACCACGCAAAATGTCTTTTGTATAACAGAACTGTCTTAATTTTCGAACTTAACATATACTTTAAACAATTTTAATATTTAAGCCTTGGCAAACTTGTGCTCTTCTACTCAGGCAGTAGAAC